GGCCATAGGAAAATTCCCGGGATGACCTTTGCATCAGGCGGGGAAGGAATGTGAATTAAGGGCGGAATAAAACTTGGGCTTTTTTTTTTTTTAGGGGTCTTTAAATAGGCCTCTATCTCCACTTGAAGGTTCCGTTTATCGTGTCACTGCCCCTTCCCCTGAACCTCCCCTACCCTTCTCGCTCCCCCTCTCCCTGCGCCTCTCCTTCTCCCTCTCCCTCTCCCTCTCCCTACAGGACAGGCTGGCATGCCTAGTCCGCGACGCGCGTCCAGGACGTGTCCGAGACATGTCCCATCTAGGCGCCCTACAAGAACAACGTCATCTCGTACGTCGTCGCCGGCTTCGGCGCCGCCGCTCTGCTCTTCAACGTCTTCCCCAGGCTGCTCGAGCTGCCGGAGATTGCGAACGTCAAGTTCCCAGACGTCTTATAGCCGCCGTGAGGGCGGGCCGGAGGTGTGCGCGGGTCCGGAATACGCGGATGCGCCCGAGTGGCGCGGGAGGGGAGCCGCGCCCCCCCGAGTGTTTGCTTTCGTCTTTGTGTGGTCGCTGGAGTGTTCTGACGGTCTGTGGTGCGGCGTGTGGATTTGAGGTTGCACGGACACACTGGCATGACGCGTGTGGATTGTGATGAACATTGATAGGGGGTGGACAACGTCCTAATCTAAAATCTGAGAATTCAGGCTTGAGGGCTTGCAGGCTTGAGTGCTTCAGTGAGGCCAAAGTGAGTTTATGCATTATGGATGTGTGAGATCTGAGAACGGTAGTCTCTAGTCAGTAAAGCCGTACGGGACACGAGGAGTCACGCGGACCGACTCGTCGGTGACTCTGCTGCACGCCGTTTCAGAATTTTTCTCAGCGTGAGCGAGACGTGGAAGAGTGCCACCGTCGGGCGTAGGACGGGTCGGCCCGGAGCATCGGAGTAGCCTTCGTGGTCGCGGCGAGCAGCGCCGCCGCCGGCCACTCCGGTGCCGCGTCGGCACCGTGGGAGCATGACCACCGCCACTTCGCGGTCGCAGCGCTGCTGTCGCCCGAAACGCCGCATGTACCTCTGGCGGGCCAAAGATCGACTCGCATGCCGATTTCGACTTGACGGCAGAATGGAGGCATCACGTCTCCCAGGCTGCTCACCCACGTGCACACCGCTCACCGGGCGGGCCATTCATTGCACTTTGAATGCCGTGGGGCTCCTGCCCGTGTCCGGAGGACTTGTGTTGCAAAAAGTCTGTGGTGCAAAACCCGCCAACAACTACCAAAAACGCTGTCCCAGGTGCGGTTTGTCTCGGCGAGCCAGTTCGGCGCGGGTGCATTCTTGAACGCGATCCCGACCCGCGCGCACTTCCGTCTGCCCTCGTACGTGCTGCGCTTCGCGCAGCAGCGCCGCTTCGGCTTGCACCTGTCGATGATGACGGACGTCATGGCGGACGGCATCTACAGCCAGCGCGATCTGCCCTTTGACGCCCTCGGCGACGTGGCGCAGAACGACGGCGCGGCGGGCCACCAGACGCGGCACAAGGAGGTCCTCTTGGACCTTGTCGAGCTGCTGCGGGGCAAGCTTGGGCGCGGCGCGATGGAGCACGAGTTTCACTGCGAGCACAGCACTACGAGGACGGACTTGTACATTTACCAGGCTCCAGGGCGTGATCGGGGACCCACCTGCCCTGCATCGGCGACACGAAGATCTTTGCCGGTGTGCCGTCGGACCCCTCGGGGGTGGGGCGCATGGGGGCGTTCGTCGCTACCCGCGGACGGGGACCGGGACGGTCGAGGCTGTCAAGGGCCAGTACACGGATGCAGAGGGGGAGAGGGGAAGTGCCGTGTGGAGGCGCTGCTCTTCGAGGAGTTCGGCGCAATGAGCGCGGGGGTGGAGGAGCTGCTGAGGCGGGTGGCTAGGGTGGCGGGCCGGAAGCTCACATGGTGGCAGTACGACCAGACGTCGTGGTCGGCGCGCGAATGGATGCCGTTTGCGCTGCAGCGACTGTCGGTGCAGCTCTGGACGGCGCTCGCGGACGAGGCACAGCGCGCCATTGGTGCGGCGTCGCGCGGCCGCGAGGGACCGCGGGGGAATGCTAGTGGGATGGGGGGCTCTGAGGGGAAGGGAGCGGGGGGCGCCCAGTAGGGCGCCGGCACCCCAGCGTAGAGGGCGTCGTGTAGCCCTCCCTTTTGGTCTAACAAAAAAGGGTGATCTCCTTCGGCTTCTGCTTCGCCACGACCTTGACGGCGTCGGCGAGTTCCAGTTGATCTTGCATTTGCTGGCTGCAGGGCTCAGGTCCCTTTTATAAAAACGCTGTCACGGCCGGCTCGGCACTATCTACTCAAAGAAAGTGACGTAGAGCACCCACTTTTTAAGCGTTCCGTGCACACACAAGGTCCGCCTGCGTGCGCCGCCAGCTTCTCAGGGCCATCGCGCGAAAAACGACGGAGGGGAGATGCATCCTAGCTGTCGCCACCGAAGGCGACTCGACGTCGCTGAGATCGGAGATCAAGCTCTGACAGGTCACACGTCGCTCCTTTGACGCCGACGTGACTCACCCGTGCAGAGCGCATCAGGACACGGTCTTGACGCGCTCGGTACGACGCCTGCGACCCGTCTCGGGTCAGGTGGCACGACGCTCATCGCGCCTGCCAGCGCTGCCGTGCAGGCTGCCACGACAAGGTCGAGCACGCTTCTATACGCTCGCCCAGCCTTCCTTTCCATCCCGTTAGGCAGCCTGGGAACGGTGGCGGTCAGAGGCAAAGCCTGCGATGGGTGGTGGAACCACATGTCACGGCCACCGCCGGCTCGACCCCACGACAGCCTGAGCCTCCGGAGGCTGACTTTGAGGCACCATCATCGGACGACGTCGACGAGTTGGATCTCTCTCGCGGTAGCCAGGTAGCCCCCCCATACTAGTAGCACCAGCCATGGCCTCAGGGAGCGCGGGCGAGGGCGCTGGGAGCAACACGGAAAAAAATCAAAATTCAACATTGTCACACCACCCCCGTATTTGCAACTAGTCGGAGGTGAGCCGGGTGTGTGGAGTCTGGAGATGCGAGGGTCGCCCCCCCCCTTGCCCCACCACTTTGTGTGTGTGGAGCTGGATAAATTTTACCTGATCAGACAGGGCGCGGGGCGAGCCACATCATCACTGGCTCGCGGCAATACGGGCACTCTCGCATCAGCTCGGAGCAGGGACCGCAAGCGCACAGGTGCCCGCACGGAACCGCCGCATGCGACTTGACTCTCGCGAAACACACGATGCACGTGGTCTCGCCCCCCATCGTGGACTCGGGGGCAGCCGGCCGCCCCGTGTCGAGGCCGGCGTCCGCTAGTGAGACGGCAGCGAACGGCTCGGTGACTGGCAGATGCTGCTCCGGCGCCGCCTCTCCCGCCTCTGGCCCGATCAAGCGCTCGATGGCGCCGACCCGCTCCTCGAGGCTACCCTCGGTCGCCGCGCCGAGGCTCGCCTCCAGCCGCTCGACACGCCGCGGCAAGTCCCCGCCGCCGACGGTCGACTCGCTGCTCACCGCCTCCTCGCACCGCGACACCCGACGCGCCAGCGCCTCCTCCGCATCCACCTCTGACCGGCGCAGCGCCTCTGCTAGCTCCGCATCCTCGCGCAGCACCGCCCGCTCTGCCGCACCCGCTAGCTCAGCCGCCTCGCGCTCCGCTCGCCTCGCCGCCTCCTGCTCAGCAGCCAGCTGCGCCGCCCTCTCCTCCTGTGCGCGATGCTCTGCCGCAGCCTTCGCCCTCCGCTCCTCCTCGAGCGTGCAAGCAGACGGCGCCTTCTTCGCCTCCTTGTTCTTCGCCTTGGCCTCCTTCTTGGCCGCCGTTGCCTCCGCCGCCTTTGCGCGCCGCCTCGCCTTCTCCTCCTCCGCCCTCCTGTCCGCAGCCTCCTTCTCGCGCCGCGCCGCCTCTGCCTGAGCGGCTTTGCGCTCCGCCGCGGCCGCCCGCTGCTCCTCTCGCTGCGCCTCCTCCGCCGCAAACCTCTCCGCCTCCCTCGCCCGCAGCGTCTCCTCTGCTGCCGCGCGCTCAGCGGCCAGCTTCGCCTCCGCCTCCGCCGCAATGGCTCGCCTCTGCTCCTCCAGCGCCGCCGCGTCCGCCGCCCGGCGCACCTCGACCGCCGCTCGCTCTGCTTCGCGCCTGCGTGCCGCCTGCTCGCGCTCTCGCGCCGCCGCCGCCGCCTCCCGCTCGCGCTGCTGGCGCCGCCCCTTGGCCTCGAGCGCCTTTTCGGCCGCCTTCTCCGCCGCCTGCGCCTCCCTCAGCGCCGCTGCATGCTCAGTGAGAGCGCGCACGCACCCGGCGTGGTCTGTTTCAGGAGCACTGGCGGCGCCGGCAGTAGCTAGCACCTTGGCCGCTTGCTCCTTGGCGATCTGCAGCGCGGACCTGCCGTCTGCAGAGCGAGCCTTTGCATCTGCGCCAGCCCGAAGCAGGCGGAGCACGACGGCGGGGTAGCCGCTGTAGGCGGCGTTCATCAGCGGGGTGATGCCGTTGCTGTTCTGCAAGTTGACCTCTGCGCCGTGCCGAATCAGCACCTCGACCACCCTCTCGTGGCCGCTGTAGGCGGCGAGCATCAGGGCGGTGTTGCCGTTGCTGCTCTGCAGACTGATCTCAGCACCGTGCCGTATCAGCACCTCGACCACCCTCTCGTGGCCGCTGTAGGCGGCGAGCATCAGCGCGGTGTCGCCGTCACCGGGGTCGCTAACCTGCTTGTTGACCTCAGCGCCGTGCTGCAGCAGCAGCTCGACCACCCGCTCCTGGCCTTCCTGGGCGGCGATCATCAGGGCGGTGTAGCCGCCGCTGTCCTGCAGGTTGATCTGAGCGCCGTGCCGTATCAGCAGCTCGACCACCCTCTCGTGGCCGCTGTAGGCGGCGAGCATCAGGGCGGTGTTGCCGTTGCTGCTCTGCAGACTGATCTCAGCACCGTGCCGTATCAGCAGCTCGACCACCCGCTCGTGGCCTCTGTCGGCGGCGCGCATCAGCGCGTTGCCGCCGTCGCGGTTCAGCAGGTTGACCTCGGCGCCGTGCCGCAGCAGCAGCTCGACCACCCGCTCGTGGCCATGGCCGGCGGCGCTCATCAGCGCGGTGACGCCTTTGCTGCTCTGTAGGTTGACCTCAGCGCCGTGCCGAATCAGCAAGTCTACCACCTGCTCGTGGCCGTTGTCAGCGGCGCGCATCAGCGCGGTGACGCCCCCGCTCTTCTGCAGGTTGACCTCCGCGCCGTGCTGCAGCAGCAGCTCGACCACCCGCTCGTGACCGTGGAGGGCGGCGCTCATCAGCGCGGTGCAGCCGACGCTGTCCTGCAGGTTGAGCTCAGCGCCGTGCCGCAGCAGCAACTCGACCACCCGCGCGTGGCCTTGGTCGGCGGCGTGCATCAGTGTGGTCCAGCTGTCGCTATCCTGCAGGTTGGCATCCGCGCCGTGCTGAAGCAGATAGTCGACCACCCGCACGTGGCCGGTGATGATGGCGCCCATCAGCGCAGTGACGCCAGTGCTACTCTGCACGTTGATCTCCGCGCCGCCCCGCAGCAGCAGCTCAACCACTCGCTCGTGGCCGTTGGCGGCGGCGAGCACCAGCGCAGTGTCGCCGTTGCCCTTCTGCTTGTTTATCGCCGCGCCGCGCTGAAGCAGCAGCACGACGACCCGGTCGTGGCCTTGGCCGGCGGAGGCCATTAGCGCGGTGTCGCCGAAGCTGTTCTGCAAGTTGACCTCCGCGCCGTGCCGTAGCAGCAGCTCGACCACCCGCTCGTGGCCATTGCGGGCGGCGCGCATCAGCGCGGTGGCGCCGACGCTGTTCTGCAAGTTGATCTCAGCGCCGTGCTGCAGCAGCAGCTCGACCACCCGCTCGTGGCCTTGGTCGGCGGCGCCCATCAGCGCGGTGCCGCCGGTGCTGTTCTGCAGGCTGACTCGAGCGCCATGTTGCAGCAGCAAGGCAGCCACCCGCTCGTGGCCTCCGACGGCAGCGTCCATCAGCAGGGTAATGCCGATTACTTCGCCATGCTCGCGCGTGGTGTTTGCTCGCCCGCCTCTCTCGAGCCACGAACGCACCGCCGCTTCGTCGCCTCGCAACACCGCGGCCACGTGCGGATCATTCTGCGTCACGATTGACGACATGTTGAGTGTAATTTTTGCACGTGTGCAGACGCCGTAGCAGGACGAATTCTTTTTCGCCCGGCGCCTCACACCTACCTACCTAGCTACCTACCTACCTAACCTCCTGTGTGCAACCGCCAATGGCAGTTAGAACGCCCTCATTCCCGCTCGTGGTGGGCGTTCCGCCGGTCCCCGCGGTTGTGCTCCCCCCCCCCCCCCCCCGCTGCGGACGCGTCCCTCCTCCGTCCAATCGAGCCCGATATATCCGCGCCGCGTGGCACATAAAACATGTATGCACACGCACCCGACGCAGTCTACACACGCACAGCATTCAACCATGGATGCAGCGGCACCGGCGGCGGGCGGGGCTCGCGCCACCCACCGCCAGCACGCAGCAGCGCGAGCACAAAACACACAAAGAACAAAACTCGGCGCGCGAGACGCGGAGGACCGCAAGCGGCGGGGACGCGGATGGCGGCTGGAAGCTGTGCCCCGCGCCTCGCTCTCGTGAGCACACATGCGTTGTGTGCGCCGCGGCCACGCCCCACGGGGCGGCCCGTTTCGGCCCGATGCGCCGCCACCGCCGCCTCCTCCTCACGCCTGCACCACCCTCAAAGTCGCGGGCGCGCGAGTGGCGAGTCGTGGCGAGTCGGCGTATACAGCACTCCCACCACGCTTTGGCGCCTGGTTCCGTCACGCCTCCACCTTGAGGACGTGCGAGTCGCCGTACGTGCTCACAAACGGCCGCCACCCGCCGTGCAGCAGCAGCCCGCCGCTGCCGACCGGCGACAGCGTCGCGGCGTTGCGCGGGCCCGGCGCGTTCGGAGCGTCCTCGCCGAGCAGCAAGCTCCACTCCCCACCCCCGGAGTCGTCGAGGGTGAGCGCCCACACCTACGTGTTAATTAATCATTAACTATTAATGATTAATTATTAATTAGCGCCCACACCTACGTTGTGGATACGCCAACCTCAGGGCGGGAAGACGGTATTGCGCAGCGTGTTCAGAGCACCGCGTGAAGACAACGGAGAGGAATCCAGTGAGTACAGCGCGGAATGCGGGTGAAGACAGCGGAGTACGTGTCCTCTCGAGCGCTGGTTGGGATACATGAACACGTATGCCGCTTCTAGGGCCCACACGTCTGCGCGCGGCACGAGCCCCTCGCCGCCCGCCTAACACCCGTACGTGGCGGCTGACGAGCGGCTCACCCTTTCATCAGGCACGAGCCCCCTCGCCGCCCGCCTCTGCGCCGCAGCAAACCACGATGCCGCGCCCGCACGGCAGTGGCGCAGCGCACGCGCCGGCGCGCGGACTGGGCCGCTCTCCTACAGCCGCAGCTCCGAGGAGCTTGAGAGACGGGTCCTGGTCCGCCTCCGCGCAAGACACGGCCCCCTCGCCGGCTCCTGCCGCGAGCGGACGCCACTCCCACGAGCGCCTATGCAGAGCCAGAGCGGTGAAGAGACGCTGTTCACAGCTTGAGGAAGGTCTCGATGCTCCGCAGCGCCTGTGCAGAGCTAGAGCGGTGAAGAGGCGCCGATTCACAGGCCGACCGCGGCCAAAGCTCCCACGACGCGCGTGTCCAGGGCGAAGGCATCGTTGACCATCTGCCCGTCCTTGGCCGCCCCGCCTGCAGCAAGAAAGAGAAACGAGGCGTCGGGCAGGCTTCACGGCAGCCACGTCCTCGGCCAGAGCGCTGCCAAACACGACAAGCGTGTGCCCGTCGGCGGCGGCGGCGACGTGCAGCCCGCGGCTGCTCGGCGGCGTGCCGCTGGTCGGCTGCTCCTTGAGCGTCTCGCTCGCCGCATCCCACACTAGGACCGAGTCGAGGCAGCGGAAAGTGTGCAGGATGACCGTGCCGCCCACGTTGCACACGACGTGCCGAGAGGCGGGGCCGCCGGGCATCGGAGCCGCGAGCCGGCGCCACGTCTGCTTTGCGAGGGAGAGAGACCACACGTCGTCCAGGATCACGCCTCCCGTACCCGGCGTCTGCGGGTCCCAGCCGCCAAAGACGAGCATCTCGTCGCCGACGACGCACGAGGCGGTCGCCAGCCGAGGGCCCGGCCGATTGTCGCGGACACGGCCACCCTTCAGCGTGACGTCGATGGGCTCCTGGAGCTGCTGCCAGCCGGAGCCACCATCGTAGCGCAGAAGGTCGTTGACGACGTGGCGTGGCTTCCCTTCCGGCTCGGCGTACCCGCCAAAGAGCCAGACGTTGCCGGCTTGATCCGCCGACGCTGTCGGCCCGGACCTCGGTGGGGAGGAGGTGCGGGCGGTCCTCTGCCAAGCGTCGTCAGCCGGCACGGGCTGCCAGGAGGCGGTCAGGGACGCTTGCATCGTTACCGAGAGGAGGAACGCTGACATCATTCGACCGCGAGCACCTGCCGCAGTAGCCGACCGTGAGGAGAAGCTGGCAGTAGCCGACCGGCGGGTTGCGCGCCGATGCAGAGCCTCTGCTTGGCGGGTTCCAACCTTTGCGTGGTAGGGAGTCGACTCGTGCGCCTATGACCGCGCTGGTCGTCTTCTGCCTCGCGTCCACCCATACCGCGTTGGTTGTCCAGTCCGAGCCTGACTGAGTTCTTCACCTTTCTACCTATGTATGTTGGTAGTGAGGTGATGATGAGTCAGAGCAGGAAGTAAAAAATTAGATATTCTTACCTTCTTGCCCCCCTCCGAGACTGGAGACAGTCACCACAGATACATACGTCTGTGGGGGTGCCCCCCGCCCCCGCTTGCCCTGCCTGCGCAGGATAGCGTGCCCCGATAGCGGCGACACTTAGCGAGGGACACTGCGCAAGGAGGGGGTGCGTCGACTTTTTTCTTTTTGTCCTCTCGGGGGAATGTTCTCTCGGCGCCCATGGCCTTCTGAGGTTTCGTACTAATGACGTCCTTCTTGGCACTTCGGGCGTCGGTGTGTGCGTATCTGTGGTGTCTAATTCCCCCGGTATGCTACGGGTATCGGTCGCTGATAGACCATCATCTACTCTGCTTACTTCGGCCGTCGGCCGCTCGATGGTCGAGTGGCTTCCGGATCGAATCGGCAGGTTGACCCTTATAATTTTTCTCACACCTGAGCGGGCCCAATTTTGCTCAGATGCACGCTTAGCGCTTGGTGTGCGTTCGTTTTTCGTCACGGGTGTCGATTCTTTGTCAGAGCAGGAAGTAGAGGTTCACTAGTTTATGATAGGATACGCCACGGAAGGCTAGTGCGTAGTGGCTAGCTAGCGCAACACGTCGAGTGATAGCTGTGTCGTGATCTCGACTCTGGGCCGGCGCGGGGCCCCCCGGAGGCACCGTGCGCCGCGCCGCAGTGCGGAAACGGGGCTCCGGCGCTCAGAGTCGCTCAGAGCACCGACTTCCCGAATGGTTACGGTTGGTTAGAGGGCAGATTTGGAGAGATCTCGAGGAGTACATACAGATAGACCCTCCAATCATCAGAAAGCTCCAACCTGATCGGTCGTACTGACCGCCGACAGATCACTCCAGACAGCAGACAGGCCGACGTCTGCACGCGGCCGGCCGGGCGAGAGGCTTGACACGATCCGACCCTGCGACCCTGACGCTGCTGCTCTAGCTATCAGACATGCACTGCTGACTGCTGCCACAATGTGCGACCTGTGCTGGCCCACTTGGCGGCCTTTCCGGTCAGTGGTGAGGCGCAGTTCAGAGCTGTCGATGGCGCGATGCCGCACTGGTCCCACATTGGTGACACGATACCACCAAGTTTGCCGGTCCAAGAGAGAGGCACCGGCGCTGTCCTGAGAAGGTGCGTGGTCCCTCTTGACTGCCCATGCGCGCGAGGCTGTGTAGGCATAGCCTCGAGAGTGCCAGTGCAGCCAATCCGAGGCAGTTTGTGACGCGCATTGCGCCAGAAGCGTGCACACGATGGAAGGACACCTTCTGAGAGAGAGATTTTTAGCAATACCAAACATTTTGGTATTTGTGGACGACAATATCGAGGTGGAGAGGTGAGGAACAGTGTGAGAAAGAACTGTGCGTGAGTTCTCGTGGTTTGTGATCCCTTTCGCGGTTAATTTATTTTTTGTGCTCCACCCCTCAAGCTTTCACAAGGTTTTTGCGCAAAGAAAAAGAAATCGTGGTCACGGCTCTCACCACCACCCCTCCAGCTTCAGCGCGCCGCCCGCGCCGGATGGCCTCCCACCGCATCGGCGCGCGCGTCGCGGGCCTCTCGCCAGAGCAGCTGTGCGCCATCATCGAGGCGCAGGCGGGCGCGAGCGACGCCGCGCTGCGCGTGGCGGAGGAGCACGCCGCACGGCTCGTGGAGCAGCCCGAGTGGGTCCTCTCCGAGGTCCTCCTCTCGCCGGACCTCGCCCCGCACATCCTCGCCCAGCTGCCGACCAAGGCGCACACCGCCAAGGGGACGTGCCGCGCGTGGCGCCGCGGCTGGAAGGAGACGCTGAAGAAGCGCGAGAGGGCGCGCCTGGTCGTGATCGGCGGCGAAGACGGCGACGATGAGGTTGTCAACTCGCTGGAGCGGTACGACCCGTCAACGAATGAGTGGGAGGAGGAGGCTGCGGCGCCGATGCCGTCGGCACGAAAGTATGTCGGCACGGCGGCGCTCGACGGCAAGCTCTACGCGGCGGGCGGCAGGGAGGCCGACGGCGCAACATCCAACCTTTTGGAGCGGTACGATCCGGCGACGAACGCGTGGGAGGCGGTGGCGCCGATGGTGACACCCCACGAGGGTCACGCCGTGGCGGTGCTCGACGGCAAGTTGTACGCTGTGGGCGGGTACAGCGGCGGCGGCCTCAGCTCGGTGGAGCGGTACGACCCCGCTACGAACGCGTGGGAGGCGGTGGCGCCGATGGCGTCGGCGCGGTATAATCACGGCATGGCGGTGCTAGACGGCAAGCTGTACGCTGTTGGCGGCGAGAACGACGGCGACTTCCTCAGCTCGGTCGAGCGGTACGACCCGGCGTTGGATGCGTGGGAGGCGGTGGCGCCGATGGAAGAGGCGCGGGACTCTCACGCCGTGGCGGTTCTCGACGGCAAGCTGTATGCTGTTGGCGGGTACGACGGCGACAACCTCAGCTCAGTGGAGCGGTACGATCCCGCGACGAACGCGTGGGAGGCGGTGGCGCCGCTGACGCTGGCTCGCTTCAGGGCCGGGGTGGCGGCGCTGGAAGGCAAGCTGTACGCTGTGGGAGGCAGGGTTGTGGAGGACGAGGAGGAGGAGGAGGAGGAGGTCGATAGGCCGGCTAACACGGTGGAGCGGTTCGACCCGGCCTCGAACGCTTGGGAGGAGGTGGCGCCGATGGCGACGGCGCGGGCCTTTGCTGTCGTGCTCCTGATGTAGAGAGAGAGGGGGCGGCATAGAGGAGCTGGAGGAAGAGGTGAAGAACAGTGTGAGAAAGAACTGTGGGGTGGGATTTGTTGGTTTTGCTACATGCGTCGAAATTCTTGTTCACAGAGCTGCCCACATCGAGTAAAAGGTGAGTAATTGTGAATGCGTCTGGGCTGCCGATGCGGCGATGGGGCATCACGCAAGCTGAGCTGACGTCGGAGCGATTCGTTGTCAGCCCTGAGCTGGCTCGCCCAGAGCCAGAGCATCTCCTCGCGCTGCCGCGCTTCGAGCGTCGCGATGGTCGGGAATCGGCAGCGCCATCGTGTGCGAATTGCGAGATGAAGAGCACCTTTGGAAAGGGGGGTCGGTGTGATGAATCCAATAAAACAAAGGCAAAACGGCAATTAAAGCTTTTATATGCGCTTGGTCGAGTCTCCCGGTTTTCTTCAGGGCGAGTGCACGGAGCTAAGTGCCTCGCCGCCCTCGCTGGAGACTGGCGCTCCCGTAGTGTACCTGTGTTAGTGTACCTGTGTTAGTGCCAGTGCGCGCCAGTCCCGTGCCCAGTGTCGTGCGAGGGAGCTTTGTTGCAAAATTCTTTTCTTGTCAGTGTACAGTGAGGTGAGTGAGTGAGTGAGTAGGTCCCGCAGCTCGCGCACATCTCCCTCTTAACCCACCTGTAACATCAGTCATCACATAAAGCTTAAAGGTATTGCAAAAATCGTGACATAATCAATAGATATAGTTGTCTTATTTCAACACTGCCTTACTCGCCGCGCCGTCCTGATCGACAGCCTGAAATGTGGCCCATGCGCGCGACCCCGCGCCCGGCATGTTGTGCGAGTATATGGGACAAAAGCGTCGAAAATGTCCCAAAAAGCGTGTCTCGAGTTTGTTGCAGCTCCGCAGCCAGCGCGGGCTGCCAGGACGCACCGCTCGCGCGTTCGGCACACTCGGTGGACCCCACCGAGTGTGCCGAACCAACTGGAGTGAGTAGGCTCGACGCCGCGCTCGCTGTGGGGCTGCAACAAAGTCGCCGCCGAGCGTGCCACCGAAGGCGTCCCGTCGGAGGTGATGGAGTGTGAGACCTGAGGCTGCGGAGGTGACGCCTGAGGTACCGGCCCGTGCACAGCGACTCAGCCGGCGACCGCCACGGGCTCAGACGATACTTGTCGACTCGTTCCGGCTCAGCTTCACCGTGGTCATCGGGCGTCTGTCGACGTCAGGACCACCCATACAGCTCGCGGGTTTGAGGTCGCAAGAGCCAAGATGGTGGCGTTTGGACATCCCAACCATCACACAAGACAGCCTGTAGGTGATGGCGGGACGGCGCAGTGTTTGTGGCACTCGGCAGTAGGCACCCGCGGCACGGCCCCGCTGTCGGCTCTCGCGGGCTGCAGAACCGGCCCCAGAAGGGGACGTTCCGGGCGAGTGTGGCAGCTCTTTCGCTAGTATGGGCACCCTCTATCATAGCACTACTGATCCTGGTCATTAGAGCTGCCAGGGATAGCGTCAGGAGCCGGTAGGAGTCAAAACCCCTCATATTTGAGACATCGTGTCCCATATACTCGCACAACATGCCGCCCCGCCTCCACGCCATCCGGTTTTGTCTTTTGTTTATGAAACAAAACTTAGATGTTAGAACAAGAAGAAAACTGCATCCCTTGAACACGGTCGAGCGTCGACTCTCACCACACCCCCAAAATGCCCCCGTGAAGCGTGATCCCTCGCCCACACGCACGACGCATCCCCCCCCCCCCCCTATTCGCCCCTGCCGCCCCCTTCATCTCAAGGGGAAGGGCCCGGCGAGACACGCTCCAGCCTACAACATGCCGGAAGAAGGCTACACGTGCAAAGGCCGGCGGTGGTTGTCGACAGCGCACTCGCGCCCGGCTCTCTCCTGCTCGAGGACTGGCCTGATATCGCCTGCGGCCCGATGTGCACTTGTTCTCCCCATCTCACAGGTGGAAGATGTTTGGAGGGACCCCCCCGAGGGAGCGCCGCTTCGGCTTGCCCGGCGCCTTTCCCGCCGCCGGCCGCTCAAACGCGTAGCTCCTCGCCTGCACCTTGCGCCCGCCGCCCGCCGGCGCCTTCCCGCCCGGCTCCGCCTCGCCGGCCGAGCAGCCGTCGGCGTGCCCCGTAAAGCCGAGCTCCGGCGCGCTCCGCCTCGACGTCGCCCCTGGCGCGGGGGGCTGGCGGCGGGGCGGCGGCGGCAGCGTCGCCTGCATCTCGGCAGTCAGCGCGTGGACGCGAGAGAGGACGCCGTCCGGCAGGCGCGGCTGCCCCGCCCCCGCGCCGCCGTCGGCCGCCTTGCCGGGCACTGCCACCTTGCCGGCCACCTTGTGGATGCTGCGCGGGCTCCTCCGCACGCCCCTGCGCACGTCGCCGCCCTCGCCACCGCCACCGCCGCCGCCGCCGCCGCCGCCGCCGCCCTCGCCGCCGCCCTCGCCGCCGCCGCCCTCGCCGTCGGCAAAGAGCGCGCGGCCGGTCTTCCCGCCCGGCGGCAGGTTGTACGAGATGCGGTCGATGGCGGTGAAGAGCTCGCGCATCTCCGAGTCGGGCGCGACAAGCTCCCGGCGAGCCTGAGGTACGGTCAGGGACACTTCTCCACACCCACACACACGGGGTGGGGGGGCAAGGGCCGGCCAACCCTCCTCGTCCAAAGACAGGAGCCGCACGGCATTCAAAGTGCAAGGCCCGGTGCGCGTGGGTGAGCGGAGAGGGGGGGGGGGGGGGGGCAACCCCCCTTGCGTCTCCACGTCCAAAACACCGGAGCCCCACGGCATGGAAGTGCAAGCTAGGCCCAGTGTGTGCGTGTGCGTGTGTGTGTGTGTGTGTGTGTGTGTGTGTGTGTGTGTGTGTGTGTGTGTGTGTGTGCGTGCGCGTGTGTGTGTGTGTGTGTGTGTGTGTGTGTGTGTGTGTGTGTGTGTGTGTGTGTGTGTGTGTGTGTGTGTGTGTGTGTGTGTGTGTGTGTGTGCGTGTGCGTGTGCGTGTGCGTGTGCGTGTGCGGCGAGCCTTCCCGCGGCCGCTGCCCGGCGGCGGCTGCTGCTGCGGCTGTAGCGGCGGCGTGCCGGTCGGCGCCGAGCGCGAGCTGCGAGACACCTAGGTTAAGGTAAAGCGCTAAGGTAGTCCTCTCCACGCACACAAAGCGGTGGGGAACGGGGGTGGCAACCCTCGCATCTCCACGCCCGGACACGCGGGCAGGAGCCGGCACGGCATTCAAAGTGCAAGGCCGGGTGCTAGTACTACTACCTAGTAAGCGACTCCCCTCGAGAAGCCGCAAGG